GCTAGGTTGCTGACTCGGCACCCACCCCACCCCTCCACTCTTGCTGCCCCTCCCTACAGCCTCACACCCAGACTGAAGTGCCAGCCTTCACAGCGACCTTTTGGCCTCTGGTTTCACTCTAATCTGTTGCTGTGAGATAACAAATCCCTAAGGACTGCTTCCACGAGGACCTCTTTGTCTTACTCAGCAACCTAGCATGATTCCCAAGACCTAGCAGGTCACCCCCACCTCACCAACCAGGCATTCGACACCCCCATTAGTTTCGCCCTACCCCGTCTAACTTCACCATTCCTGTATCCAACCGCGTGCTCATCCACGCATCTATTTCTTTATTCAGTAACCACTGGGCATCTCTGATGTTCTAGGAATTGCACTAGACCAAGTCTTAGCATTCACAGTGAACTTGGGGGCAGACCCAGCAGAACCACCCATGACAGCACGGGGGGGGGGTGTCCTTCAGAGGGTGGGTAGGCGCGATGGGAGAGCCTAGAGCGGGAGGTGAGAGTCAGGACAGGGAGCGGGTCGTGAACCGGGCCTCTGAGATCTAACAGGACTTGGTCAAAACCTGCAGGTGGGAGGAAAGCAGCATATTCAAAGAGAGCAAAGGGAATGTTTAGGAAGCCCCCCAAACTGAACGTATGGACAGTGTGAGGCCAGGACAGGAGACTGGGGTCGAAGAGATGGGCAGGGGCCCGATGATGTGACAGGGCATTGGATTACAACCTGAAATATAAATACACACGAGTCCACAGGAATATAAAGAGATCGTCAGACAAAGGGGAGAGAAAGAACAGGTCTTCCTCACAGGGGAATCCCAAATGATGTAGAAAGGGGGAAAGAGTTATTCCTAGGAGAGAGCTGGCAAACACCATCGTAACCAGACGACCAAAACTGACGTCACCAGCGACGTCACGTTGGTGTCATTTACCCGCTGATGTGATCAGACATTCTCCCAAATCTCGTAACCCCAGTCTTATCATGAGAACGACATCAGTCAGACCCAGATGAAGGGCCTTCTACAGGACACCTGGCCTCCAGACTGTCACAGACCAGAGGAGACTGGGAGGCAGGACACAGGATGCAAAGTGGTGGCCAGGACTGGCTCTTGGGGCAGAAAAGACATCAGGGTAGAAACTGACGCGAGGCCAGGAGCGCCCAGATGTGGGTGAGCAGTGACAGGCCGGCAGGAGTTTCTCATCTTGACGAACACCCCCCCACCCCTCCCCCAGTTAACAGCAAGGGAAAGTGGGCGAGGGGTACCAGGATTCCGCACTATCTTTGCAACTTACCCATACTCCAAAATAAAGTTTGTTTTAAAACATTCTTAAGCAAGTTCCCATCACCCCAAAAAGAAAGAAAGTCATTTCTGCCCAGGGTCAAGTTGGAGTGAAGTTGACAAAACGGGAAGAGGAAGGACAGTAGGGTTGTTCGAGGCCACACTGTACCAGCCCTGCAGCCCTGACCCCACTCCCTCCGGACCTTTGCCATCACCGCCCTCACCCATGCCCACGTGTCACGTCTGACCACGCCCACATCTCTGCCTGAGCCAACACGGTGCCAAAGGCCTTGTCTCTCCCGGGGGCATGTGGCAGCTCTCCCCTCCCTGCAGGGGGCGCTGTGGCAGCCTGGGGCCCCTTGTTGAGCGTGGGAACCCCCAAAATGTTGGCTCCCCTGTGCCCCCCTCCAGGAGCAAGCTATCCCCTTAGACTCCCTCCAAAGCCAATTGCCAGAGGGCCTGAGTGGGCTGGGCTGCAACACAAACAGCCCAGCCCTGGGTCAGGCCATCTGCCCACCCCATCCTCAGACACCAGCACAACCCTAGTGACTGTCCCTGTGCCAGGCTCGAGTCTGCCCTGGACCTGAGGTTATGACGTGCTGAGCACCTACTGTGTGCAGACACAGAGCTCTGTACTTCAGGTATGTCGTCATATTTAACTCTGACAATTCTAAGGATATGAATTCACAGTGTCACCAGAGCCCCTGAAAGGCTGAGGCCGAGGAAGTGTGAATACCTTGCCACAGTCACCTGGCCAGCCAGCGCTGCACTGTCACCACAAGGCGGTCTGCACAAGTCCCGAGGGGTCCCACTAGTGCAGCAACTAACCATGGAGACTGGAATCCACACTCCTGGGTCCAAGTCTCGCTCTGCCACTTAGTAACTGGGCAACTCGAGCAAATGTCCTTACCTAGGTAGGTCCCTGAACCTACGTTTCTGTAAAATGCGGGCATAAGCAGACCTGCCTAACCGGCTGTTAGGAAGACACTTAGACGGTGCTTGACTGAGAGGGAGCCTCTGAGAGCCACCTATTTTCATTATCATTGTTAGTAGCCCATCCTGGGGTGTCTGCAGCCCTCCAGCCCTGGCCCGGCCCCAGTGCTGTGCCACCTTGGGCGACTCACAGACACAGAGGCTTTCCAACCCCAAACACACAGACGAGGGTCTCCAAGGAGCCCCCTGCTGCCCCCCCAGTGGCTCACTTGAATCCTCGGTCGTCGGCGAAGCAGTGAGCTGCGGACACCATCCAGCTGGGAGAGATGAGAGAAGCCCCGCACAGGTGGCCCTGGCCCAGCGCGTGGAGGCTCACCTGCCAGGGCCACTCGCCTTCGTCTGCATCCTTGCCTCCGACCACCCGCGACTGCCTGCTGAACGCCCGCAGCCCGCAGTCTGGGAGGGCAGAGAACCCGAAGGAAGAACAGCGAGTTAAGGTGGGGTGACAGCTCCAGGCCCCACACCAGGCCCAGTGAGAGGCCATGTGGGGGGGTCACCTTGCAGTGGGCACCGCACTGCTGGTGCGACTGTGGCGTGAGGGACTCCTACGAGCAAGTAAGTCTGAGCCTCAGACCCACTCACTTCCGCCCGGCCCCTGATCCCAAGCTCAAAACCCTCCCCCTCCCCCTTTCCCCTCCTGCACAAATGCATTTGGGCTCCTCCAGACACCTGCTGGTTTGCTTAGATCTACCAGGGGTGTCATTTGCCTAGATTTCCTTGTCAAATGCTGAAAGACACAGTTCTCAGAGAACAGCGGGTGGATGACATGAAGTCACAGAGCAGCTGAGGCTACGCTCAACTTTAACCTGGGGCCAGAACTTCTGAAACACACATTAAAGCATGGGATGGGTGCGGGCAAAACCCCAGGGCGGGCTCCCTGAGCTGTGCCCCGCCCCGCCCGGGGCAGGATGGGGAAGCCTGGGCTTGCTATTCCCCTGTGGCTGAGTCTAGAAGCAGGGGCCAGCCCAGCCAACATGGCTCAGCATTTCAGCGTCGACCTAGGATCCAGGAGATCACGGCTCTGTTCCCGGTCAGGGCACATGCCTGGGTTTTGGGCTCGATCCCCAGCAGGGGGCATGCAGGAGGCAGCCAATCAATCACTCTCTCATCACTGATGTTCCTATCTTTCTCTCCCTCTCCCTTCCTCTCTCTAAAATCAATAAAAATATATATTAAGAAAATAATAGAAGCAGGGGCCAGCCCAGCACCCCCACCAGGACCACTGACGAGCTTGCCTTGGGCCTTGACTCCGGGACCAGAGCACGCCCTTGTGTCAATCAACAAGTCGGCAAGGTCGTCCTTCCTCCAGGCCACCACACCCTCTCACCAGGCAAACATGGGTGAGGGAGGCCCTGGCGAGCTTCCACCTCTGTCTGTGCCCGCACAGCGAGCCTGCACCCTCAGGGCGGCGGCCCTGCTCACCGCAGTTCTTCTCGTCTGAGCCGTCGCTGCAATCTTTCTTCCCGTCACACTCAGGGTTGCTCTTGCTCACACAGAGCCCGTTCTGGCAGCGGTAGGTGTGTTTGGTGCAGGTGACAACAGCCACTGAACCAGGAGGAAGACACGGGAGAAAATCAGTTCCTCTGCTCACTCCATCAGAAGCCTGACCATCCATCTACCTGTGCCCCTCACTCAGGCCCGCCACACCCACCCACACCACTGCCCACTGTCCTTCCAGCCCTGCCAAAGGTTCTCACTTCTAGAAGGTTCTCCCCCTGTGGAAGCCCTTTCTCATCAACATCACACAAGGTGGTTTGTGTTTATTAAACTCTGCACACGCTGCATATGAGTGTGCTCGTGGCTGCCTTCTCAGTGCCCGAGGAAAAGCCCCCAAAGGGTAATGGGCTGGCCAGGCCTTACCACTGCTGCATGTGGCCTCATCGGACCCGTCCCCACAGTTGTTCTTCCCGTCGCACCGCTGGCTCTCCGGGATGCACCTCCCATTGCCACACCTGAAGGTCTTGGCCGGACAACCTGGGAAGCACACGGCGCTCAGCAAGGGCCCAAAGTCCCAGCTGTGCAGGCTGCAGGGAGCTGGGTAGCCACCCTCCTCCCCCACAAGCACTCACTACAGTCCAGCTCATCGCTGTTGTCCCCACAGTCGTTCACAGTGTCACACACCCAGTAGAGGGGTTTGCAGAACTTGTTCTTGCACGTGAACTGGTAGGTGGCGTTGCATTCTGGAGGGTCGAGGGCAGCAGTCAGCTGGTGGGGCTCAGTGGGATGCGAGCCCCCAGCCCCACTCATCACCACTGCCTCCCTGGGAAGCTGCCTGGGGACACAGTCTCCTCTGGAGAGCATGTTCGGGTGCCTTGTGTCACTGGTTACAGAAGCTGATTTTAGCACCAAGTCCCCAAAAGGGAGAGTGAGGGAGGGGCTAAATGTCTACACAGGGGTGGGCACAACTTCCCGCCACCTTGGACCACAGACTCAGCTGGCAGGTGCCAGGACACCGCAAGGAAGGACAGGAGAGGACGGCGGCCACAGCCCTACTCACGGCAGTTGAGCTCGTCGCTGTAGTCGGCACAGTCGGCCCAGCCATCGCAGCGCAGCGCGTTCCCAATGCAACGCCCCGTGTTACACATGAACTTCCCTGGGCACGCTGCAGGGAGAGCACAGGCCTGAGGGGTGGCCACCACCCCTGCCTCCCACAGGGGCTCCCTGCCTAGCCTCCCCTCCTCGGAGCCAACCACACTGAGGGCTAAAGAGAAAACTCGCCAGTTCAGCCCTCAATAGAGAGGCACAGGCTGCCACTGGCACCCCAGGTCGAGGTCCGGGCCCACCAAGTCCTGGCAAGGGGGTTTTTACAGCCAAAGCGAGAAGGCTGGCCTGGGGTCCCTTCCAACCGTCAGTGACCCAACCCCGGGAAGCTCCGGGCAGAGGAGAGAGGGGCTGGCTGGGTGTGTGCTCAGCTCTGCTGCCCAGTGACCTTGGCCGGCCACGTCCCCCAAGTGCCAGGCACCCTAGAGCGACACGGAGCAACCGCGGCTCTGCAGCTCGAGAATGTGTGTGTCCCATCCAGGTGTCCAACAGCATCACCACGTTTCCCTAATCAAGGTATTTCCCACATTTCTATGTTCCTGGAATTGGAAGGTGTCTGACATCTGATGTCATCAGGCAGGTGGCAAGGTTGAGAGGGGGCCGTTGTCGCTTTCTCTGCATAGGGAGCTTACTCACTTATCGAAGGGGTTTGCTCATCTAATTACACTCTTGGTGGTGAGCCATGCAGTAAAATTTTAACTTAAATTTGGGTTCCTGCATATAGTTAAAATGTTGCCCTAAAGGTTATTCTTTGATGAAGGGTTGAAACAAAAAACCTGTGTATGTGGAAGAACCGCTATTCACACAGCAGTGAAATTAAAGACGACAGAAACCGCCAGGCTTTAGGGAAAGATCACAGAATTGTCAAAGGCAATTCTAAGTAGTGTGGTGTTCGTGCCCCAGAATTTCCTAATGTGTCTCAAAATTATGCTTTTCATTGTAAAGGTGCCAAAAGGCCACTAAGACAAGCACTGATTATCGAAGTCACAGTGACGCAGATCCGAAGGGGCAGGTGGTCTAAAGGCGCTGAGGGTCCTCAGGCTCAGGGGCCGCGGGCGTGGCGTGCGCCCCTGTTCAGAGGCCTTTTTCCCCTCAGAAGGCTGCTTGGGGATGCGCAGCTTTCACTCTCTCGTGTCTCAGAATCAGGAGGGCACAGTGCTAAGAAGATGCAGCACAGAGAGTGCATCTCGGTCCTTCCCACAAGCCAGGCTCCCCCTTCTAAAGAAGTCACTCACGGTCACTGGAGTCATAAGACATGTACTCGGCCAGGAAGCCCGTGTCAGTGTAGGACTGATCCGAATGGAAGTGTACAGTGATCCTGTTGCTCTTGCTGGTGACCACAAACTGGGGCTTCTCTCCGCAGTACCTGGAGGAGGCCAACAGTAGGAGGACCCACCCTCGGGTTTGGGCGCCCCTNTAGCCTGCTCCCACACTCCCCAGCCAGCCTTCCTCTCCCAGGCCAGTTCTCCTTCTCCTGGGCCAGTTCCCCCTCTCCCCGCCTGCCCCCCCAGTCTCTAGCCTGCTCCCACACTCCCCAGCCAGCCTTCCTCTCCCAGGCCAGTTCTCCTTCTCCTGGGCCAGTTCCCCCTCTCCCCGCCTGCCCCCCCAGTCTCTAGCCTGCTCCCACACTCCCCAGCCAGCCTTCCTCTCCCAGGCCAGTTCTCCTTCTCCTGGGCCAGTTCCCCCTCTCCCCGCCTGCCCCCCCAGTCTCTAGCCTGCTCCCACACTCCCCAGCCAGCCTTCCTCTCCCAGGCCAGTTCTCCTTCTCCTGGGCCAGTTCCCCCTCTCCCCGCCTGCCCCCCCAGTCTCTAGCCTGCTCCCACACTCCCCAGCCAGCCTTCCTCTCCCAGGCCAGTTCTCCTTCTCCTGGGCCAGTTCCCCCTCTCCCCGCCTGCCCCCCCAGTCTCTAGCCTGCTCCCACACTCCCCAGCCAGCCTTCCTCTCCCAGGCCAGTTCTCCTTCTCCTGGGCCAGTTCCCCCTCTCCCCGCCTGCCCCCCCAGTCTCTAGCCTGCTCCCACACTCCCCAGCCAGCCTTCCTCTCCCAGGCCAGTTCTCCTTCTCCTGGGCCAGTTCCCCCTCTCCCCGCCTGCCCCCCCAGTCTCTAGCCTGCTCCCACACTCCCTGAACTGCTCCCCCAGTCGCTAGCCCGCTCCCACACTCCCCGGCCGATCCCCTCTCCCTGGCACTCACTTCTCCCCGTTGACCTCCACAAAGTCCTTGAGGCACTTGCCCACGGGCAGATTGGGCTCCCACAGGTAGAAGACTTTGAAGGACACCTTCACGTTTCGGTTGCTGGGCACCTGTGGAGAGAGATGCTGCTGGTTCCCTGCTGCTCTTTCCCTCTTTCCCAAACCCGAGGGCATCAGTGGTGGCCATGGGGCTGGGGGAGTTGGGCAGGGAGCAGCTGCTGTGTTTCTGCTCTCGGGGCCTGCAACATGCCCCACAGAGCAGGAGGGGTCAGGGCGGTATTTGAAGAACTTCAGCCTCAGGGGCAAGAGGCTGTTACATCGCTAAAGAAGGCTAGCCAGTCCTCCCGACATCATCAAAGGAAGGAAAAGGAGAGGATCTGTGACTGGGAGGGCGTGAGCAGCACTCCTGTCGGTGGGACAAGGTGGGACTCTTGTCGCACAGAGATTCACCAAGTGCTCTCTTTGGGGCACAAGCACACTGCCACCTTGTCCCCACCACACCTCTGGGAGCAGCCACCAGCCTTCCCGCATTACCCAGAGCAAGCTGAGCTCTGCCCATGGGCCCTCGGTCAGCCACGAGGAGCTGGGACTTGAGTCTGGGTCTGCCTGACACTGCAGCAGGTCAGCCCCGCAGGACCCTGCCCACCCGTGGGAGTCAGACCTGCAGCCTCATCAAGGTTGCTAAGGAGCTCATGGCCCTTCTGCCCTTCTCACCTCTCTGTCTCTCCCCACCTCTCTCACCTATCCCCGTGACCCCTCCCTCCCGCCACAGCTCCTACCTCGATGTCCCAAGTGCAGTTGATGTTGGGAGGGTAGTGGCCCGGATAGTAGGGGCTGTTAAATGTCCCACGGGCTTCACGTAAGTAGCCTCCACAGCCTGAGAGGAAAGAGAAAGTTAGCATGAGGACTGAGGCC